AAATATCAAACTACACTCTAAATTTAGATTAATGTATGCTAAAGATATTTTCATGGTACATGGTCATCATTTCTAATTTCCCAACAAGTAATTTATTTACACTTCGTAGACGTTCTAATTAGTGTCTTAACCCCTATAAATCTATATTTTCAAGAGAAATGGCAACACATAAAATCTCACACCTCTTTAATTTTCATATTATGTCAGTTAATGATGCAAATATGCATTAAAACAAAAGTAAAAAAAGATCTAATTTTTTTTTGAAATATGTGGGTTAACCCCTATGAAAAATTTAAATTTGCCGAAAATCTCTACTTTCTAGAGAAACGGGAACACATAAGGTCTAAAATCTCTTTAACCTTCATACTATGTCAGTTAATGATGCAAATATGCATTAAATCAAAAATAAAAAAATTTCTAGTTTTTCTCGAAATATGTGGGTTAACCACCCCCTACGAAAAAATTGAATTTTTCAAAAAAATGCTTTCTTTGATTTTTAGACATTTCAGTGTTGTTTAAAAATATTAAACCATACTCTAAATGTATATTAATGTATGCTAAACATATTTCAATGGTACAAGGTCATCATTTCTAACTTCCCAATGAGTAACTTATTTAAATTTCATATACGATCTAATTAGTGTCCTAACCCCTATAAAATCTATATTTTCTAGAGAAATGGCAACACTTAAAGGCTCAAACCTTTTTAATCTTCATACTAAGCTAGAGAATGTTGCAAATATGCATTATAACAAAAACATGAAATTTTCTAAATTTTCTTGAAATATGTGGGTTAACCCCTATGAAAATATTGAATTTTCCGAAAAAGGCTTTCTTTTATTTTTAGACATTTTAGTGTTGTTTCAAAATATTAAACCAATCTATAAATGTATATTAAACATATTTTAATGGTACATGGTCATTATTTCTAACTTCTCAACGAGTAATTTATTTAAACTTTTTATACGATCTAATTAGTGTCCCTACTCCTATAAAATCTCTATTTTCTAGAGAAATGACGACACTTAAAGGCTCAAACCTCTTTAATATTCATACTAAGCTAGAGAAATTTGCAAATATGCATTATAACAAAAACATGAAATTTTCTAAATTTTCTTGAAATATGTGGGTTAACCCCTATGAAAATACTGAATTTTTCGAAAAATGCTTTCTTTGATTTTTAAAAATATTAGTGTTGTTAAAAAATATCAAACTACACTCTAAATTTAGATTAATGTATGCTAAAGATATTTTCATGGTACATGGTCATCATTTCTAATTTCCCAACAAGTAATTTATTTACACTTCGTAGACGATCTAATTAGTGTCTTAACCCTATAAATCTCTATTTTCAAGAGAAATGGCAACACATAAAATCTCACACCTCTTTAATTTTCATATTATGTCAGTTAATGATGCAAATATGCATTAAAACAAAAATAAAAAAAAATCTAATTTTTTTTTGAAATATGTGGGTTAACCCCTATGAAAAATTTAAATTTGCCGAAAATCTCTACTTTCTAGAGAAACTGGAACACATAAGGTCTAAAACCTCTTTAATCTTCATACTATGTCAGTTAATGATGAAAATATGCATTAAAACAAAAATAAAAAAATTTCTAATTTTTCTCGAAATATGTGGGTTAACCCCTACGAAAAATTTGAATTTTTCAAAAAATGCTTTCTTTGATTTTTAGACATTTCAGTGTTGTTTAAAAATATTAAACCATAATCTAAATGTATATTAATGTATGCTAAACATATTTCAATGGTACAAGGTCATCATTTCTAACTTCCCAATGAGTAACTTATTTAAATTTCATATACGATCTAATTAGTGTCCTAACCCCTATAAAATCTCTATTTTCTAGAGAAATGGCAACACTTAAAGGCTCAAACCTTTTTAATCTTCATACTAAGCTAGAGAATGT